TCTTGGTAAAATGGATTAAGACAACAAACTTGAATCAGTACTCAGAAGACAGCAACCCGAATGCTGGTGCTATTATTAACTAGACACGCTTCCTAAAGCAAGGCACCTCTCCACCCAGGTTCTTTCTCATCTGCAAAATACAGTTGAGCTGCGTGCTTTATATCATCCTGTAAACCAAATAATTTCCTCATATAGATCTTATCCTGAAAAGAAAACAAGGGCGAAACAAGAGTAAGGGCCTGCATTTAAACGTGCTCTTGTAACAAACAAGGTTTGACGCTTGGACAAGTTGTTGTTATTGTTGTTAGGTGCCACTGAGCTAGTTCCAACTCACAGCAAGGGATCCTATGTTCAACAGAACAAGCACTCCCATCCCTGCGCTGCGCTCAGTCCTTGTTTTGTTGACGTCCATTTATCAACCCGTCTTATTCAGGGTCTTCCTTTTTCCCCAGGCTCTTTACCGAGCATGATGCTCTTCTCCAGAAACTGATTCCTCCTTATAATATGGTCCAAAGTACAGGAGCCAATGCCTTGTGATCTTCAAGGTTTCTGGCTTTACTTCCTCCAAGATAAAGTTTTCATTCTTCTGGTGATCCACGGTAAGTTCAATCGTCTTCATCAACACCATAGTTCAAAGGCATCAGCTATTCTGCAGTCTTCCTGATTCACTGTCCAACTGTGCAGGAGGCGAGGTGATTAAAAGTGGCCTTGGTCAAGCACTCCTTCATCCTCAATGTGATACCTGTGCTTTTTAACACGTTAAAGAGGTCTTTTGCAGCAGATTTGCCCAATGCAATGAGTCATTTGTTCTCTAGAATGCTCTTTCCATGGGTGTTGGCTGTGGGTCCAAATAATATGAAATCCTTCATGCCTTCTAACAGTTCTCTGTTTATCATGATCTTGCTTATTGGTCCTGTTGTAAAGATTTTTGTCTTTTTTATGTTGAGGTGTAATCCATACAGAAGGCTATATAGTCTTTGATCTTCATCAGTAAGTAGGTACTTCAAGTTATCTTCACTTTCAGCAAGCAAAGTTGTATCATCTGCATATAAACTAAAGACAAAAACAAAAAGACTATTGCCATTGAGTCAATTCCAACTCATTGAGACACTCCAGGGCAGAGTAGAACTGTATCCTTGGGTTTCCAAGGCTGTAAATCTTTACAGGAGCAGAAAGCCTCATTTTTCTCCCATTGAGTAGCTGGTGGATTTGAACTCCTGCCTTTGTAGTTAGCACCCCAACCAGTAGTAACTCACTCTGCCACCAAGTCTCCATGGTCCTCCAATCCTCACGCTATGTTCTTCTTCAGGCAGCCCAGCTTCTCAGATGATTTGCTCAGCACACAGATTGAACAGGTAAGGTGGAAGGATGCAACCCTGATGCACACCTTTCCTGATACACGGTATTCCCGTGTCTGTCTGACCAGCTTCCCCTAGGTCTCTACAGGTTCCACATGAGCACAATGAGGTGTTCAGAAATGTTTATTCTTCACCATGTTATCTATAAAATTTTATGTTCCACACAGTCAAACATCTTTGTAGTCAGTAAAACACAGGTAAATGTTCTGGTATGCTCTACTTTTAACCAAGACCCTTATAAGAGCAGCAATGATATCCCTCATTCCATATTCCTCTTCTGAAACCAGATTGAATTTCTGGCAGCCCCTGTTGGTGTGCAGCTGCGACCCTTTCTAAATTATCTTCAGCAAAAATTTACTTGTCTGTGATAGTCATGATATTATTTGATCATTTCCACATTCTGTTGGATCAGCTTTCTTTGGAATGGGCACAGATATGGATCAAATTACTTAACTTTTTTCCATTAGTAATACGGGATTATACTGATCTCCCATATATACAACACGTGCTTCAAGCATCTAAAAGGTCACTCATTCACTCACTGTCATTGAGTTGATGCTGACTCATAATGACCTTATAGAACAGGGTGGAATTGCCGCTGTGAGTTTCGGAAAACAAACTTTTTTTTTAAGGGGAGTAGAAAGTCCCATCTTTCTCCCTCAGAGCAGCTGATGGTTTCAAACTGCTGACCTTGCGGATCGCAGCTCAACACTTAACCACTGTGCCACCAGGGAAGGCTCCTTCTATAAAGTACTCAACATATATTCAGTTTCCTTCCCCATTAAAATTTAAGCCTATCTTCATCCTCCTCCAGGATATTCAGCACAGTAATATATTCAAATATACTCAGCTGTATATGGCAGATCAGGACTTCAAACCAGTTCATTCCAGTTATACTACCTGCTGATTATTTGCATTTCCATCCCAGATACAATGACTCAGAATCTACATTTTAACAAAATCCCCAGCTCTGTAAGAATCTATAAGAATCATACATCTAGAATCCCCTGGAGAGAACTGGTTGGGGATTACTCACAAAGGGGCCACACTGAAAGTCTAAAGGTGCAATGAGGTGTGGGGGTGGGGGGTACTAGACTTTCCATCCCTGACTGCAGAACACAAAGGTTGAAGACTAAAAGGGTATAAGTGCAGTTAAATAAGCAGGTCCCGGGATATGGAACCCTGAAAGAAAAGGGGATTGGGCTGAGGGATTACAACTGATCCTACCAGCTATTTAACAGAGAGATAGTCATTTATTCTGGGTCAGGATACCAGTTAGACTTGGAAAGATTTATATGGTCTGTCTGTCTCTCTCTCTCTCTCTCTCTCTCTGGTGTCTGTCTATATAAGATAGGCAGGATAAACAACCCCATGGAGAGACTGACGGGACTGATGGTTCTGGGGGCGTCATGGGAGAGGAGAAAGCAGGGGGAGGTGAGTGGTGACCAACAATGACAGGGACAGGGAAATAGCAAGGGTTACAAAATTGATCAGTGGGGAGGGTGTAGCATTCCTGGTCGGATTTGATCAACTGAAAAGTGTCTGAGAGGAATTACTGAGAAGTAAATGATGGGTAAGCATGATAGTGGGGCAGGAGGAAAGAAAAAAAGGAAAAGAGGAAATAAGAAAGCAAAAATTTATATATAAGTATATAGATAAGCAAATATATAATTATATAAACAGGTGTATTTGTCTGTACATGTACATATATGTAAATACAATAAGGAAGCAGATGGACTTTGGGCCTCTACTAAAATCTCACCTAAGTACAAGAACGGTTTGTTCTAATAATGTGGCACTATATAATACTCACCTTTCCAACACAATCACTGAAGACAAAATGGGTGCATAGGCAAATGTGGTGAAGGAAGCTGATGGTGCCCAGTTATCAAAAAATGTAGCACCTGGGGTCCTAAAGGCTTGTAGTCAAACAAGCAGCCATTGAGCAGGGAAGCAACAAAGCCCACATGGAAGAAACATACCAGCCTATGTGATCATGAGGTGTGGAAGGGATAAGGTATCAGAAATTCAAAAACAATCAAATTGACATGAAGAAGTGTATACAAAGTGGAGACCCAAAATCAACCAGCAATACAATTGGACAGCGCCTCAAAAAGGGGCCGCAAGGTGGGGGGATGAGAAATTCAGGGTGTGGTATAGCACGGATGAAACACTAAACTATCCTCTGGTTCTTTAATATTTCCTCCCCTTACTATTAAGGCTTGTGTTTCACCTCATTACTACTGTTACACCTATGTATGTTCATGTGTGTAATTAAGATAGTTCAATGCAGGAATTGCAGGATGGATGATCCTTCAGAAACAGCAACAGAAAATAATAATAATAAAAAGAAGAAGAAACAGCAATGATTAATGATTCCCTGAGGATATGAGAAGATAAGAGGTGCAGGGGGAGCTGATAGCAATGATGACTGTATAACCCCACTCAAGGGGAGTGAATAACAGAATTGCAGGTGAACGGATACATTGGATGGTGTAAGATACGGCTAATACATACATACACACACATATATACACACACACACACACACACATATATACACACACACACACACATATACATATAAAATGGAATAATAGTAATATTATATAATAATAACAACAAGGGTTCCTGGGGGAAGCATGGGGGAGGGCGAGGATAAAAGGGGCTAATATCAAAGAGTTCAAGAAGAAAGAAAATGTTTGGAAACCCGACTGTAGTAGCAATTGTACAATTATGTTTGATCTATGTGAATTATGGAATGTTAGGAAATCTGTAAGAGCTCCCACTAAAATGATGAATAAATAAATAAAATAAGCCCTCTGAGAAGCAGGAGGAAGGATCTCATTACCAGCAAGTAGACCTGAGATCTGTATGCAGTGACCCTCCTGGATCCAGAAGAGAATTATGACATGAGTGGAGCAGCAGCAGCAGAACCAGGAGCTAGAACATGAGACAGAGGGGTAGACTTCCCAGCCCGCAGAGCAAGTAAAGCTGAGTGCTTTGGGGCAGGAGGCTGGCTTAGGGAGTGGGGTGCCTCTAGGCACTGAATTCAGGGAGCTGGGTTTGCTGACTCATGGAGCTGAGTTGAATGTCTTCAGATTGAGGCTTACAGCAGAGTGGTAGGCCCCGGTGGCATTTATTAGCAGACCTGAAAGAACTTTGTAATGTGTCCTGTTGACCTACTGTATCCTGAGCAGTTCTCATCCGCATTACAATCCCTGGAGAGCTTGTTAAAACATAGATTCATTATATCTGGGGTGGAAATGCAGATTCTCATCAAGTGGTTCAAAACAGAATAAAGCGGTTTGAAGCCCTGGACAAAATGTACCATGTTCTAACTGCTGTGGATATCAGAACCAAAAGATTCTTGCTTTCTGTCATAGGTGAAGAGAATCAATTATGTGTTTGTTTTTACTGTTCTCAACAAAGCGTAAACTAGCAACTCTACCTGCCTTGCCTTTCGGGTTACAACAGGGGAACCCTTACCTCAAACAGTGGGGACAGACGGCATCTCGTGATTCTTACTCTGTCCCATCACAAGGACCTGTTGCTTACTCTAAAAATCTCTCCAGAACCATTCCTAGCTCGTGTCCAACTCTATAAAATACTCTGTTCTCCTCACAGTCCCCACATTTTTCTCAAACACACAACTTCAAGAATCACCCCCAGAGACTTGATAACAAATGTTGAATTCCTGCTTCCTCAAGATGATTAGGCTCAACTAGGCACAGGTAACATTCCTCCCAGATCACTCGTCTTTTCTAAGGCCAGCCCAAGTCCCGGTTAGAATTTCTATAACTTACACAGTTAAGTAATGATATGGATGGGACATAAAGGAAACAAAAAGTACCTATTATTGATTCACAATATTTAATGTTCATTGTGTGTAAAATCTGCATAACTACATAATTATCAGAAACAATAAAATCATTTTTAAAACCCTTAAACATTTCATAAATTACTACTTTAAAGTAGATTACACTAGAAATGGCTCTCTGTACAGTTCATTTGAATAATGATCTCTTAGAAAGTCAACTTACCTCTTTAAAACTTTCTTCAAAATAAAAAGGTCCATTATCAGTTTCTTTATTTCATACTACAAATATCTTAATTTAGTAAGAGATTATTCTAGCATGCACAACAAATCATTTTTTGAAATAATTTTTTGTCAGTTATATCTCTTAATGGTCAAAAAACATGTTGTTATATTTTACTGAAAATCAAATCACTTTTTCTTAGTGAAGTTAACGCTAATGTACATTTTACCACTCATGAACATTAGTCAGCAGAAAATTACAACATTAATTCTATGGACAGACTTCTTACAGACCCAACATCTAGAAAAAAGTCATAATAAAGGGTAATTGAAAATCAATACAAATAAAATCACGATAGTTTTATGTTTTCAAAACATCTAATGTGCTCATAGATTGGCTTGTTTTTAAGATTAACCTGTCTGATGATTTATGACTTTGTATTTAAAGTATGGCAGATGCATATCTCATTGGGTCTTCATTTTAAAGAATTAGCCAACCTACAGCACATTCAATAAAACAGTCTTTTTCATTTATAAACGGACATATGGGTACTTACCTAGACATGCTTGGACAGACTTCAGGTGAAGATGCCACATGTGGAGAAGAGAGTAATGATTGCAGTCCTTTTCAATGACAACTAGAAAGAACCTTTCTGAAAATGGTGGTGGGCGGTACCCTATTGTTCAAAGGAAAAGGGCACCGTTAATATGCTCCTCTGGGTGGGAGGATGCTTTTAAAAGCTAAAAAGACCTTTTGAAATGCATAGAAGTTGAGAGGAGAAAGAAGGGAGCAAGAAACTTTCATGCAACGTTTATGCCAAAAATTAGGTAGCTTTATAGAGCGAATGTCAAAAGGGCATGAAAAAAATATGGGCAATTCATCAAAGAATAAAAATGGATGCTATATATTGAAATGCACTGAGTACATTAAAAAGAAACATACACACACACCCACTATCATGATCCCAATTCTACCTTACAAATCAGGCTAGACCAGAGGATGTACACTGGTACAGATAGCAACTGGAAACACAGGGAATCCAGGATGGCTGATCCCTTCAGGACCAGCGCTGAGAGTGGTGATACAGGGAGTGTGGAGGGAAGGTGGGGTAGAAAGGGGGAACCGATTACAAGGATCTACATATAACCACCTCTCCGGGGGGACAGACAACAGAAAAGTGGGTGAAGGGAGACGTCGGACAGTATACGATATGACAAAATAATAATTTATAAATTATCAAGGGTTCATGAGGGAGGGGGCAGTGAGAAGGGAGGGGGAAAATGAGGAGCTGATATTAAGGGCTCCAGTAGAAAGCAAATGTTTTGAGAATGATGATGGCAACAAATGTAAAAATGTGCTTGACACAATGGATGTATGTATGGATTGTGAGAAGCATACGAACCCACAATATAATGATTTTAAAAAAACAAAACAAAAAAATAAAAAGAAACCATAACTTTATTAAAATACTAAAATAGAGAGGGCACACAAGAAAGAACGGCAAGAAGACAAGGAAGAAGAGGAGAGACAGAGAGAAAGAGCGAGACCCTCATCAGATCGACATGGATGTCATTAGGGTACTAAATGGTCACTTGGAAATGTGGCTACAAAAGGAAAGATTGAAATAACACTATCCCCTCCTGCTTTTCTTGTATGAAAAGAGCATTTTAAAAATTAGAATAGAATTTGTGGAGAAAGGGGCAGTAGTGGTAGAGATGAGAATTTTTAGAAATTTCATTAAATTTTAGGAAACATCATTACTTTGAGCATAATTTTTCCTGTGGACAATTATAGTCTTCCTTCATGTGATTAATACCTACAAGGTACAACAAAAACTTTCCTTAAAAGTTGAATCCTATAGAAACATCAGTCAGTCTAAGACATGAAAAAATAATAATTTATAAATAATCAAGGGTTCATGGGGGAGGGGGGAGAAAAAAATGAGAAGCTGATACCAAGGGCTCAAGTAGAAAGAAAATGTTTTGAAAATGATGATGGCAATGAATGTACAAATGTGCTTGACTATGGATTGTGATAAGAGCTTTATGAGCCCCCAATAAAATGATTTTTTTTAAAAAAGGAAAAAAGAAATACAAAGCGGAAGTAAGATATGTGATGATACATTGAGGAGACTGAAATTGGTTGAGTTGAATCAGAAAATGTATGAATTGTTGGATGTAAAACTATGATGTTTGTACACTTGCATCTAATTAACAATGAAAAAAAAATTTTTAAGTGAACCCTACAATGGCAATTCATTAAAACTAAACAAACACAAACCCATTGCCATCAGAGATCCTATCAGACAAAGGAGGACTTCAGATTTTCAAGGCTGCAAGTCTTCATGGACACTTAGGAGTAGGGGCTTGTCTTTCTCCATGGCACGGCTATTGAGCTTGAACTACCAACCCTGCAGTAAGCAACCCAATGCACAACCCACAACACCAGGGCTCCTGACAGCTCATGATCAGTGAACATTTGAAGAACTCAAATTGTGGTTTCTAAATCCCATTCTACATTAAAAACAGCAGCTTGAAGGGGAATTTTCATTTTTGCAAAGAAAATACAACATAAGCCTGAAATATCTGTGTCTAAAAGCAGAAAAGGTATCAATGAAAACGGTGACATTGTGTCAAAAGGGCTCAACGCCAATTTGAAAAGGTCCTCACTCGCCTAACATAAGACTGTGTGAGGTTGTAAAAAAAAAAGATTAATAAGTGTTTGACTAAATATATTAAATTCCAACAGCCGCAGGGGGCTTCTCCATAGGGATATTATTATTCAGTAAAGAGATTATTTTAAAAATAGGTTAATAATTATTCTCAAAAGAAAAAGAAAGTCACACAAAACAGCAAATTCATCAACAACGGCTGGAAGTAAATAGGCCACAAACACCTTAATCTGAACTTGGCAATTAAAGGAAAAGAATTAGGGGCTTACCCTGCCTGTCCTAAAATAATTCTGTATTTCAAAGTAACTAGACAGCCCTATTTGATAAAGGAAAGTTTTTCTTTACAAATACTATTCATGTAATAAGTAAATGAAAACTAATAAAATCAGAAAACCTTAATTCTTCAACCCCTTATGAAATAACTTGTTCAAAAAAAATAACAATATTCAATGGACAAAGCCATGAAAGGAAAGCCTGGTACGAAGTTTTACATTGGCAACGTCAAGAAGCAACCACGAACTTTCTGGATCTTAGTATCAGGAAGCACGGGGCATCCTAGCGTTGTTCTTAATGGTGGGATACATATGAAGTGCATCCTCTGAGAGTCTGAACCCAAATCTCACTGAATCTCTAAGGCTGACTTCCCCTTGACAGGAAAAATGATGAACCAGATAATGTTTAATTGGTCTCAAAATAGAGAAATTCCTGTAGAGTAATTAGCTCTAAAACAAGTCAGTGGCACGGTAGAGATATACAAGGGGAATATCGTAGATTGAAATAGTCTTAATAGGCAATGGTTAAGCACTCAACTACTAAACTATGAAACCAAAATATTAGTCGCTCAAGTCTACTGAGAAGCACCCTGTAAGACAAGCTTGCCAACTGCTTCTGGAAGATTACAGCCTGGGAACCCCCAGAGTGCAGCTCGACTACACACAGGCTGGCCAGGAGTTAGATCGCCTTGAGAGCAGGCGATTTTAATAGGACATCAAACACAATCTATAGGCCTTGTTTGGATACAGAGTCTAATACATGAGTCTAATACATTAAAAACAAACAAAAAAAGCTCTGACATTTTTCAGACAGTTGAATAATGGCAATATGGAAGTTATTGGGTTAGCAACCTAACTCACAGCTCACTATACCACCAGGATTCCTTGTTATGCCATAGTGAAAATGAAATGAAAACTGAACATGACAACTGAATAACTTATAAAGAAAAGTACCCAAACAAAAAACAAACTAAACCCGCTGCCACCAAGTCAATTCTGACCCACAGTGACCCTGGATAGCATTTCTGAAGCTATAAATCTTTAGGGGAGCAAACAGTTTCATCTTTCCCCCACAGAGCAAATGGTGGATTTGAACCACCAACCTTGTAGTTATCAGCCCAACGCTTACCCAACAGCACCACCAAGACTCCTTAAAAATATATGAAAGGGCCCACGTTGAAGAAGCACACCAGCCTATGCGATCACGAGGTGTCGAAGGGATCAGGTATTAGGCATCATCAGAACAAAAAATCATATCATAGTGAATGAGGGGTGAATGAGGAGTGGAGACCCAAAGCCCATTTGTAGGACATCCCCTTACAGAAGGGTCTCCGAGAGGAGACAAGCCAATCAGGGTGCGATGTAGCAACGATGAAACATACAACTTTCCTCTAGTTCC